TTAGCAGGCTAGATCTCCATGGTAACTTATGCTGTGCGGCTAACCTGGTCGGGACCAGGTTAGGTTGCAGGCTAAGAGCTCAACTCAGTGAAAGAACTGCCTGCTGACCAATCAGAGCTCAGTGTGCGGAATTTAAAGCGATCAAGTCATATAACAGGAGAAAGATTCAGATTGCTCTGAAGATGGGAGGTGATATTCTATTAATGTTCACGTTCACACAGTCGGGGATTTTTGCCGGCCGTCTTTCCTGCAACGGCAGCTTTTCTGTATTTCCTTTCTCCTGTAATATGACTTGATCGCTTTAAACTCTGCACACTGAGCTCTGATTGGTCAGCAGACAGTGCTTTCACTGCTCCGGGGCAGGTTAGCCGCACAGCATAAGTTACCATGGAGATCTAGCCCGCTAAAAAGAGAACCAGCTTCGTAGGACCGGAAACCCCGAGTTTTCCCTGAAGTTAGCCCGCTAAGTGAAAATCCTGCTTCGTAGTATACCCCCCTGGTGTAGTTCTCAGTGAACCTTGTGTGCTGACTGTTTATTTCTCTCGGCAGGTCGTGGGAGTCGGAAAGGAGCGGCCCAGATGTGCATGTCCTGCCACGGCACAGGGATGCAGGTCCGTATGCACCAGCTGGTCCCAGGCATGGTGCAGCAGGTGTCCACTGTGTGCCACAGCTGCCAGGGCCAGGGCCAGAGGATCAGCCACAAGGACCGCTGCAAAAGCTGCGTGGGGAGGAAGATCATGAGGCAGAAGAAGGTTCTGGAGGTCCACATCGACAAAGGTAAGAGATTGAAGAGAGAGCTTATCTAAATGTTTCTCTGACTGTCTGACCAGCGAACAAGAAAAAACAAATAGGGATGATTTAACTTCCACAGGAATGAGAGATGGCCAGAAGATCGTTTTCCATGGAGAGGGAGACCAGGAGCCCGGCATCGAGCCAGGGGATATCATCATTGTCTTGGACCAGAGAGAACATTCAACTTTCACAAGGTAATATTTTCTCTTATCATGTGTCTTTATGTATTCTGTTCTGGAAGATTCAATGGTTTTATTAAAAGACTACGAACAATTTGAATAAAACATTGCAGGTGAAAGACACAGAATGTAAGGTTAAATATTGTTCAGTGAAATACAATGAAATGCTGTTTGATCTAGTGATAACTATTAAGATAATACCTTAAATAAATCCTAAGATGCAACCAGATGAATGAGAGATAGTAATTATACGATTCTTGTATGGTCTATTAATACAGCTTGTAGAGGGAATATATATAAACCTGGTTTTTGAATACTCAAGTGGTATATGTCTTCGTTGAAGCATCAATTTTAAACATCTTAATAATATCCCAAAGCCTAATTTTGCATTGCTGGTTGAAGTTAAACACAATCGAATTCACATTGCTTTTAAATCTTGACCTATTAGTAGCTGATTGTGAACCCTGTGCTACATAGCAACACGCTAAAATCACCTTATCTTTCCTTTCCTTTTTTTTCTACTCTTCTTGCTGTCATCAGGAAAGGAGAGGACCTGGTCATGTCCATAGAGCTACAGCTGGTGGAGGCTCTGTGTGGTTTCAAGAAGCCCGTTCAGACAATGGACAACAGAACTCTCCTCATCACCTCAAACCCAGGTGAGCCAAAGGATTTCCTGCACCAGGATTACAAAGAAGAAAAACAAACATCTGATTAACATTTGAAATGATATGCAACAACATTTGTCATAGTTAGCAGGGCTGGTTCATCTAATAGACATCAGTCACTCATATAGCTGTCACACACACACACACACACACACACACACATGCAGCGGAATGAACACTGCTGAGTGTGTTTGTGGAGAGTTATTCATTGCACTCCACACTTCACTGTATCGATGCTCCACTGATGTTGATCAAATATGTGAATACCCAGATTTAGCTAATTAATGGTCTTTTAAATCAGTCAAACTGTTGTGCAAATAAAACAATGGTGTGATATGGTCTGCATGAGACATCTCATTTCTATTTTTTCCCAAATTGAAAGATGATGGTACATTACGTTGCTAAGTCAGTCAGTGTAAAAAGTTTCAAAAACTCCTGATCTTTGCTGAAAACAATTAATAGAGTATGCCCTGGCCCCAATGCATTCATATGGGATTGGCAACATTATTTAAAATGACGAGAGAAGTGTTTCTGATCTTCCTGCCTAAAGTGAACCATTTCTTTAATCACAGGGGAGCTGATCAAGCCTGGAGACACAAAGTGCGTCGTGAATGAAGGGATGCCCATGTATCGCAGGCCGTTTGAGAAGGGGCGTCTTATTATTAACTTCACGGTAAGAAGACTAATATTCATATTCATTGTCTTGTCTGTTTTCTTCTTTTTCTCTCTTTTTTCTTTGTTATATCTGTTTTTTCATATGCTTTTCTTTCTGTACAAGACAATAGATTTATATGAGCCTAATCAGCTGTGTTCTCATGAACTCTTGACAATCTTCAGAGAATCAGATTTGCACATTGTCTCCCCCACATTGAACATGTGCTTTAGTCTCCGTCAAAAGTTA